CTCATTTTGTTCATAAGAAACTTTAATTGGAAGAAATTACTGTTGGTTAAAGCAATCGGTCATTTGTGGACAATCTCTGTTGTCTTGAACGGTTTCTCTTGCTTACAGACTTATTGTGGTGGGGGTGCAGAGCCAGCTCAGGGAGTGCTTTGCTATTTGCCTGAGACAAGGAGGGCTGCAGAACCTCCCAAATGAATAAGGTTTCCTGGCTTCTGGTGCTAGGGAACCAGAACCATCTTTTTCATAAAAGATGGCTGGAGACCAGTGGCAATGCTTAGCTTCTGCACATTGCTGGCCGTACCAGCCCTGGTCTGAGCTGTCTCTTCACTTTGTTTCCTAGTGCTGGGATTTTATCCCTGTTTCTGCATTATCTTGGACATCACAGCCCCACATTACTCCGAATTTTTGAAATGTGTTGCAACTGTTGGTGGTAATACTGAGTTGCGCACTGGAGGGCAGTATACACTTTGAAAATATTTCCTTTGTAGTAGCTAAAGTTTTTCTATTTTCCAGGCTCTTGGTTTGAACCCAGTACATATGTTTCTTTCCACTGTTTATGTATGATGACAACATGTTAAAGGAAGGTGCTCAACTGTTTGTGATTTGCATTTTTAAATTTCACACTACAAAATGTGTTGTGAACTGGAGAGTCAAGCATTTTGGGTTATAATGAGCTCTTTGAGAAGATGCAGTTGTTTTTCCCTTTTTAATTGTCCTGTTCGCTTGCAACACATGCTTTCATCATGTCAGGATTTGGTAACCTTATAGCGTTGCTGTTTTAAGTGTTTTTGTCAAGTATCTGTCACATTGGATGCCGTCAAACTTCAGGAGGAAACCCAAGGTGTGAGCAGCTTGATCTCTTCTACATACACTCAAAGAAACAACAGAATCACACTTGTTTCAACCATGGGCTGTGGTACTGCTGGTGTTTGCCTGTAGCTAGGGGAGCTGGGTGTCTCCCCCGAGATTAGTGTTGATGAACCAGATACTACACCACAGTCTCACTGCAAAATGTGTGGAATATGCAACACAAAACCACTTCTGTCATGCTTGATTTTGTGAGAGGCAGAATCTCCTCCAGGGCAATGGGAAACAGCAAGGCCATGCGGTTATCTTTAAAAATAAAGACTCAAACTTATTTTTCACAGCCAAGACTTCATTTCTAAGTATAAGGGAGCATTTGAGAACTCTCTCTTTGCCCCCTCTTTGGTCTTCTCTTTTGGTCCATGAATGCAAATCCCACTCCCATCTCCTCACTGCTGCATCCCAAAAATGACCTACCTCCTTCTGTCCCAGCTGTAGTCTTGGGCTCAGCTCTTGAGCTGATGGCCAAGTCATGACTGTCAACCTTTTTCTCTAAGGTTTTTTCACCTCCCTTTTATGTCACTGGGGATAAAACCTCTACAGTTCTAGTCACTCAGACCCATAACTTGGGCACTGTCTTTGACTTTTCTAGAACCAAATATTCTGGTTAAGTCAAAGTCTTGCATATTTTGCATAATAAATTGAAGATATACATTTCCTTTTTCATCCCTACAGATAGTGCATTCATCCATGATCTCCTCACCTGAACTCATCTTTGGCCTTGTAGTGTCTTCAGCATGGGAGATCTGTCCAAACTAAAATGGTAAGATTATTTTCCCGTCTTCCTGCTTTGACCATGTCACTGCTTTGAGCACTTCCTGTGTATTGCTACCGATTTTCTCTTCTCGGTGGAAAACAGCTAACAAGAGTTGTAAGCTAATTACACTCTTTTACAAAGCCACAGACACTATTACATCCCACTACTAGTCTCTCATTGAGTGTTGTAGGATTCCCTTGTCCAAGCCCATGATGCCAGCCTGTGCTGTGCCTGCTGCAAGCAAAGCAACTCCTAGCTCCCTTCCATGTTTTCCTCACTGTGGGGGCAATCCCTCATAAACATAAGGGACTCAGTTTTTATTCACCCTCGGATCCTTCCTTAAAGGCTTTTTCTTTGGTGCAGTACCACTAAAAGCAGGACTACAGTTAAACTGCTAGTGTCTTCTGACTGCTCTTGAGCCCGTTAATGAATGCTGCCTCATCATTTTTTCTTTCTGTGATTGGTGTTTTTTGCTATACCTAAATCACAAGTTGTTGGAGACATGGACTCCTGTCTTTTCCCTTTGTGTTTGTACAGCATGAAGCCCAGGATCTCAGGCCCAATGTTACAATGCCTGTATACTGACACAAATACTAAAAATTAGCATCTTCCTACGGAAAACACTATTTAAACATCCACTGTGAATGATGGGTAAGATTTCATAATTAAAAATAATTGGGGAATAACACACACTCTCTCTCTGAAAAACAGATTAGTTGTGTTTGGTCCTCAGATGTGACTTACCAATTCAGAAAATCTGGATTAAAAAAAAAATTACTAACCCCAGATGACTTTCCCTGTCACTGTTATGGTGAAAAGGGTATGTCCTGGCTGGCCTGGTTTAATTTTCTTTTTCCGAGCCAATCACAGTCAAATTTAATTTGCAATACCCCCTGCAGCCCATCTTCTCAGCCATCTTTTTCCTTTTGTCTACACTTCCAACTCTTGTGACGTGCTTTTTTCTCCTAGCGTGTGAGCTTCTGTCCTGCCTGGGCTCTTAACCACTTCTAAGCCGTTCCAACCAGGAAGCTTCTGTTCTTCGTCTAAATTTGCATCAGCAGAGACTGCATGAGCAGAAGTTAAGTCAAAGCCTGGTGAAAACCTATAAAAGAAAAACACTCCGTGAAGGAGTGTAGGGACGGATGTGATTGTGGAGTGCCTACATGGTACAAAATATGATGCCTATCTTTGACATTCCCACCCTCCTAGGAGGTAGTCCAAAATCCTAAGTAAAATAAGGAAGCATCCTAATTGCTAAGGGAGAGAGAAACACCTCAGAGGAGTACTCCTATTAGAGCTAATTAACAAAAAATGCTAATTATATCCTTCCCATTTTCTAGACTGTAGGTGCTTGAATTAAGTCTGTGACAGAGATGACTCTGCTCACTTGGGATTCACAACCATAAATCCTCTAATGAGGTTTGACACCCACATATGTTCTTTGAAGCTATGTTTATGCTGCTAATTAAAAAGGGCCTATGAGCCAATCCCTGACGTCAAAGCCAAACGGCACAAACTGGCTTATGGCTGCACAATTGAGGAGTAGCTCCCTCTGGAACAAAATTTATCTTGGAGAGAGTTACCTGAAGCAGTCCAAAAGGGAGCCAGGGTGTGAACTAACATTTAAATGTTGTGGATGACTTGTGGGCTTGCTGCTTAACCTAAATTTCTGTCTCTTATTTAGCAGTAACGATGTTCCTTGTAAGAACTGGCCAGGACTAACACCCTTAAAAGATAGCCTCCAAGACAGCAACCCTCTATATAGCTATCGATGGCTGTAATGTATCCTGAAGAAGCAGTAGACCTGCTTTCTAGGATGTCACAGCTCATGTCCAAAAGGAGTGCCGCTGTCACGAGGTTCCCTCAACATCTTCTATTAAACTGGACAGAAGAGACTATCAGAAACTTTGGGCAAGAGACAGCACAAGTTGCTGCATAACTTTGAATACTAGTGGTTAAGGGAAAGGAAATGTTGTGTTGGTTTGGTTTTGTTTGTTTGTTTGTTTTTCTCCTGGGGCTGTTCCCATGTTTTAGGACAAACAGTTCTTAAATACAGGAATTGCCATGTAGTTTAAATGCCTACAGTTCCTATTATTGGCTCTATTTCTAAAAAAAAATAAGCTTGGAAAAATCACCAAATATGCTACTGTAATGCAGTCATGACAAATGTAGGTACAAGATGTGTACAAGATGTAGATGCAGGCTGTGTATATTATCACAGAAAGGATCGTGTTCTGCAAGAGGATCTGAAAAGCGTCTGTTGTAATAGCCTTTTTGACTGCTGCTTTCCTGGAAGCAGCTGTGGCTGTTCGAGGTACTCAGCATAGTAAACCTTTATGCAGATGTTAGTAACTAACATCAGCAGACAGAATCTGTGGTTTCTGTCTGGGTTTTTTTTCTGGACATAGCTTGCAAGAGTTGTCATTATTCTTTTGAAATGTGACCAGAAGAGGGAAGACCACAGAAGAGAAAATTAGCCATCTTAAACCCTAGAATTAATTGCCTCAGTGTTTTGTTGCTATACTTAAAGCCATATGCCAAATTAAGATGTTCCTTTCCATTGCTCTGCAGATGAAAACTGGAATGTAATAGCCTAGGGCAAATACATTCATCTACAAATATTTTGCAAATACTTTTATGGAGTACTTTAAAAAGGTTGTGCTCAGTTTTCAGAGGCTTTCAGTGTGCATTGATTTTGAAGAGTTTCCAGAAAAAAAATGTCTGCAGTTTC